TGAGTGTAGTTTACTTTACTTTACTTCCTCCTTTCTATTGATTGCTTGACAGTTGCAAAACACACAATTTGTGATCATGCTGCAATTGTTATAAATGTGAGGAGTGGTCGCAAAACTATTTTTTTTAAACCATTATAACTTTGAAATTAAGAAAAGGCAGTCAATAATTGAGGATTACTTTTCCGTGTAATCCTAATAGATTGCCATAGATAGTAAAAAAATGTTTTAAAAACAGTGTTAAACTATAAAGTCAAATTCTATATCACTGATTAAGAAATTTCCTTTGATATATCTATCACCAATTGTTAAGCACAAATCCTGAAGTGTACAGGTATTTGTCTGTCCTGGAGGCAGCTGCAATGACTTTTGGCTGCTCCAATATCGTACCTGATTCTGGGATGAAGCCATGCAGCCTAGGGTGCTGCAGCCTATTCTCCAGCAAGTTCCAGAGCTCAAGAGGGATATTTACAGTAAAATAAGTGACTGATCAGTTCCACCATTGTCAGGCCAAATTTGTGATATCAAACATAAGTGGAAGTTAGCAGCTGCCCACTTTGATGGGACAAAACTGTTTGGGTCCGCCTTGGATCCCATCCTAATAGAAACACAGGACAAGGGAACTATTTCCAAAGAACCCAAAGGTCCTTTGGTCTCAGACAGGAACAGCAGCATGATAGAGCTGGGTTCAGAGATAGAAACAGGCATGGAACCCAATCCAAGAGACCATTTTGTGGAGCTGGCAACAGATCAAAATGAATATCTAGCCGATCCTCCCATTGGAGGCTGGCTGGCCGCCTTTGCTGATAGGTGGGATAACATTACCTCATATGCCTGGGTCCGAGAGACAATAAGATCAGGTCTCTTCTTAGAGTTCCTCTCCACACCCCTGATTTTTTTTTTATTCCATGCCCTATTTCAAGGGATTCCACAAAGAAAGACATCACGGAGACCACGATCCAGCATTTGCTGGATATCCATGCTATTCATCCGGTCCCAACACGTCAGCAGGCTCAGGTGTTCTATCCTATATTCTTTGTGATTCCAAAGAATTCGGGGGGTGGAGAGTAATTTTAGACCTAAAGCATCTCAACCATTTTTTAGTATATAGGAGGTTCAAAAGGAGTTCCCTGCAATCTATTCTAAATCTCAGACAGGGAGATGTCTTGACCCCAGTGGACCTGACAGAGGCGTATCTACACATCCCTATAAGGCTGTTGCGCAGAAGATTCCTGTGGTTTTGTTATGCCAACTGCCACTATGAATAAAGGCCCTTCCATTCAGCCTGGCTTGGGCCCCCTGGACTTTCACAAAGGTGCTGGCCGCTCTAGCAGCATATCTCAGGAGCATGCCGGTTGGTCTGCAGTGTTATTTAGACAACATTTTAGTACAATCCTCATCTCACCTGCAGGCAGAGATAGATCTCTGGACCATACTCCTAGTACTTTGGGGCCATGGTTTTTTGATAAACCTGGACAAAAGCCATCTCATGCTGACTACTCGACTGCCGCACCTGGGCGCCACCATCGACACAATGACAAGCGAGGTTTTTCTCTTGCAGGACTGACAGAACAGCATCAGGGAATTATCCATGCACATTCGGATAGTCAAATGAGTGCCCCTGGCCCAATTATCTCAACTTTTGGGAAAGATGATTTCCTATATTGCAATAGTCCCTTGGGCCCGTTTCTATGCCAGGACCTTGCAGTGGTTCTTGCTCCCATTCCAAAGAGCCAGCTGGAGCAATTCTATGATCGAGGTCCTAGTTCCACCAAAGGTCCTTCACTCAATTTGATGGTGGACCTCCAGGAACATCACCAAGGACTTCAGAGAGCTACACTGAGTGACAATTACAACCAACGCCAGCCTCTATGGCTGGGGACCTCATTGTCAGTCCCTAGTAGCACAGGATCACTAGGCTCCAACAGACATAAAGTGCAACATCAATTGGCTGGAACTTGGGACAGTCCATCTGGCTCTTTGTAGTTCCAACATGAAATTCAAGGAGACCACATCCTTCTCCTCACAGACAATGTGGCCACCAAGGCACACATAAACTGACAGGGGGCCACACATTCGAAATCTTTTATGAGGGAGGTGGAAAGGCTTTGCCACTGGGCAGAGATAAATCTCCAGTCCATCAGGGCAGAGCATATCTCGGGCCAGCACAACATCCAAGCAGACTGGTTGAGCAGGGCCACTGTTGACCAATCAGAGTGGTGCCTGCACCTGAGCCTCTTCTGGAAGATAACAGATTGGTTTGGCTCCCCGATACTGGACCTCTTTGCCTCACTCCTCAATGCACAACTACAAAGATTTTTCTCGAGGTTTCCTGCTCAGGGGCCAGAGGGACTCCCTTGCCCCGGGGACTCCTCTACAGAGTGATCAGGAAACTATTAGAGGAGAGGCAGAAATTATTCTGCTGGCACCATACTGGCCCAGACACCCATGGTTCGTGGACCTCATGGACCTCTCGATTGCAGATGCTTGGAGGATTCCACTGGACAGGGTCTCCCTTAGCCAGGAGCCTATTCAACATCTGGAGCAACAATGGCTCCACATGGCTGCCTGGCACTTGAGCGGAGACTCCTGAAAGGTGGGAATCTCTCTGTCAAGGTCATCGAGACAATACAAGCCACGAGACATCCAACTACAATCTGATTTATAACACCACTTGCAAGATCTTCTGCAGGTGGTGTGACAAAAAGACAATAGATCCCACCTCAGCGGTAGTGGCAGATATACTGAAGTTCCTACAAGAGGGATTAGACAATGGCCTCTCTCCTAATACACTGCATAGGCAGGTAGCGGCCGTAGCCTCAGGCCTCTCCTGCAGTGACTTACAATCTCTCACTCATCATCCGACAGTACGCAGTTTCCTACAGGGGACCACTAACTTAAGACCTCCCATGGTCCATAGATACCCCACTTGGGATTTTAATAAGGTCCTCACAACACTCACCAAACCACCCTTTGAACCCTTGAGAACTACCAGTCTCCACCTTCTAACTTACAAGGTAGTTTTCCTGGTGGCTATAACCTCCGCCAGGAGAATATCTGAGCTAGCTGCTCTCTCAGTGAGAGAAGACCTTTGTGTCTTTCACTCAGATAGGGTGGTTCTTCACCTAGACCCGACTTTCCGACCCGAGCACAGGAGTTGATTCTTCCCAACTTCTGCCCTAGACCGACTCGTGCATTAGAGAGATAATGGATTTCCTTGATGTGCCTAGGGCCTTCCACATTTATATCAATAGGACTGCTGCCCACAAGAAGATAGAAGCCCTCTTCATCTCGTTTCAGCCCTCCACACTGGGGAGGAAAGTCACAGCTTCAATGATAGTTCAGATAGTTCAGATTTGGGGGGAATAGCGAAATATACAGAACAAGTATTGGAAATATGGTAAAAGGAATAACCCCATATATATTCCTTTCCAACAGTAAACAAGTTCAGATCAGCTACAAGTTTGAATATAATTTGTGGACATAAATTCCTCTTAAATGATAATTATAGTGTGCGTACATGCATGTGTGAAGGTTGTTGTGTAAATCAGATGATTCTTCCAATTATACTTATTTTTTCAAGTTGAGCTTGGTAAATGGAGCCTAGTGCTATCTTTTCTTCTTGAAAATGAAAATTTAGCAAAAAAAGTATCTGGAGCCCAAAAGTTATTAACTTTTTATTTATTTTCTTAAAAGTATAAATGTCTCTTGAGTGTTAATTCTGTGTGCACTTTGTGCTTGCACTAAAAAATAAAATATTTCTGGCAAAGATTTTCAAGAGCTGCTGCGTACTGCTTATTCTTCTGTTGTGCTTCAGTGCATTTATCTGCTCCCAAGTTGTTTGCACAATTTTACTCTACCCAAGGGTTTTGTATCAAAATAATTGCTTTATTTTGCAAGCTAAAAGTGTAGAGCTTTCCTTGGATTCAAACAGTGTTATTTTCAGGATATATTTCAAATTAAGATGATTTCATCCCTTGGTTACCTTGTATCTTGGCTTCTGTTTATCAACTTACTGTATGTATGTAAATGTACAATTCATTTTTGTTAAGTATCTGTTTCTGTATAGTATTTAACTTCTTGTAATCCTCATAGAAACAACAGTATGATTAAAATAATTGCCTTATGTTGCAAGCACAAGGGGCACAGCCTTTCCTTGCGTGCAAATGGTATTATTTGTAGGTTATACAGTATTTTAAATTAAGCTTATTTTATTTCCTTGCCTACTTTGTATCTTGGCTTCTGTTTGTTAACATATTTTGAAATATAAAATTCATCTTGATAAAGTATCTTTTTCTGTACTGTATTTTTTAATCTTCATAGAAGCATTAAATTGTATTTTTAAATAGAAAGAGGTTTTACTGTAAACTGTGATTTGGATGCAGAAAATTGCAAGCAGTATTCTATTCACAAATTACCTGTTGCATTCCACTGTTTCTCTTCCTCTAAAGTGTTTTTATGCTTGAAAGAACCTTTAGAATCGCACTTGATGATTTTGAAGAGGAAGAAATACAGTTGCAATATACTTGAAATTCAAATACATGCATCTTGTCACAAACTCATTGAATTGGGAGGAGAGGCATCTCCTTCGTCCCATTCTAGATGAGTTGACAGTTAATACCATCTGATTTATATGTCAGTTGTTTAACCTTTGTCCACTGTACACTTTAACAGATCATGCTAAGTGTGTGAGAAAATAGGATATATCAATGCCTTTGCTTCAGAATTCAGTTGGATATTGAAAAAGTACATTTATGCTAACATGTTAAAATAATTTATTTGTTAGAGAAAATTGCATTTCTGGAGAAGGAAAAGTATAGTCCTCTTGTTCACTTGTCCTACTGTTCTCAACATTTGTTAAAAGAATTATTAACTTGACCTTTGCATATTTTTTGCTAATCTTACAATAATTTGTGGTGAATGGAATAAGTGTTAAATGACTGCATTGTTTAGTGACAATTTTGTAACAGTCCTTTTTTTGTTTTGCTTTGTTTTTTTCCTAGGACCGGAATCGGCCCTATGATACTTTTAACTTGCACTCTTTGGAAAACTCATTAATGGATATGATAAGGACTGATCATGAACCTCTTAAAGGTAAACACTACCCTCCCAGTGGCCCACCAATGAGTTTCGCTGATATAATGTGGAGGAATCATTTTACAGGTTAGGAATATTCATATGTTCATACTTACCTTAAAAGAAAATCAGTTTTTCTTCTGCTATAACATTTTGATGTGTTATTGCTTTTTTTGCTAGTAAATAAATTGCTAAATGTTTAAAGCTACTCCTTGATTTTAGAATCTCAGTTAACTGAGATGAAAAGTAAGTATATAGTATGATTAATGATGCAGTTAAATGTCAAATCACAGTTTGATATCTAACTGGCTCCTTTTCTCCAAAAATATCTTAGCTCATCCATTTTAAATTTACAGTCAATGAAATAAACATAATTTTAAGCACCTGTTTTGTTCTATTTTGAAAGAAGTGTGTGTAACAAACGGGGGGCATGTGCATTTTCAATCTTGTTAGATAGACAGGATGCTAGAGGCGTTTGACATGTTTAACTTCCAAACTAAACAACTATTACAGTTAACTGTGAAAATCAAGGCATAATTTCTCATGAAAGGGCTGGCTCTTTTTCTACAGCTTTCCTTTTCTATTTTTAAGAACTCAGTAAATGTGCAACCTGGCACATGAATAAGAACAATTAAAATTAGGAAAAAAATGCCTAAATCAGTTCCAATTCATACCAGTAATTCAGTATGTTTCTTAAATAATCCAACCAAGGAGAATCATAAATGGTCCAGAAACATTTACTAACTAAAACTTAACATGCTTACCTTCTTTCTGAGTGGTGAACAAAGTTAAATGAAACAATTAGAACAAATGAAATAATGTTCATTCCTCTAGGACTCGGGTGTCAAACTCGCTGCATCACGTTGCCTTCACATGATGTTTTGCAGTGATTTTCCCATGTGCAGAGCTGGGGTTGGTGTGGCCTGTATGAGACTCATCCGGCTCATGGATATCCCTGCTCTAGAAATAACAATGCCATTAGTGGTATCCCACCTGAATTATTATAGTAGATTTTTTTAGCAAACCTTCCTAATTCTGCTTTCGGTACACTGTGCAAGATACTTATTTGTGCTTCTAGATGTTTCCCAACCCCATAGAGGCATTATCACATCCAGCATTGGTTTAGACCAGGGGTCGCAAACCTTTTGGACCTCAGGCACTTTAAATCCCAGGGACCACTAACTGGTTCTGTGGGCGTGGCTTAATTTGTGGGTGTGGCTTGGTGGTCATGTGACTGGCTGGGCAAGGCTTGTATGTAAATATTATAAACATTTATATAAATATTGAATTTTTTATAAAAAAGAGCAACTTTTACCCAAGATCAGGCAAAGCAAGCAGGCAGATTGAGTTGCTCACAGAATCACAGATTCATTCAGAAATCTATCTGCCATTGGCTAGCTCAGTCTGTCACATAAAATTTGCTTACAAGCAAACTCACAAAATTAACTAACAACACACCATGTATGTAAATATTGATTTTTTTATAAAAAAGAGTAACTTTTACCCAAAATCAGGCAAACCAGGCAGGCAGATTGAGTTGCTCACAGAAGAATTTAGTAATCTATCCGCCATCAGCTAGCTCAGTCTCTCAAATTTGCTTGCCGTGAGTCTGCACTGAATAATAGAACCTTCAGTCCTAAGAGAGGTTTGGCTATGAGAGGTTCAGTCCTAAGAGAGGTTCGGCTATGCTTAAAAGCAGAACCGAAGATCTAAAGATTAGCGAGAAAGCAAGAAATCCAACCATTTCCTGCTTCCTAGCTAATCTAAATCTCCTGGCACAGCAGAACAGCTGATGGTCTGAAGAAGGAAAAATAGCAATTTAGCAGGCAAGTTTGCTGGGTAAGGAGTGAGTGGGCGGGAAGGGTTCCCGCGGGCCATGTGGTCACGCAGCCTTGTGTTTCTGCGCAGCCTGGATTAATTGCTTTGGGGGGGTACTCTGGGGGTGAGATTTCTCTGCGGCCCACCAAAATTTTCTCATAGCCCACCAGTGGGCCGCGACCCACTGGTTGGCGACCTCTGGTTTAGACTATTATTTTGTTAATTATGTAATTATTTTATTCAGAACTGATAATGCTAGTGCTTCTTGTAGTTTGTATTAAGATTACAGCAAGGCTAAGTGAAAAATATACAGTTAAAGAAAAAACATTTAATTTGCAAGACTGTCCAAAATCTCTATTCCAAGTGCAGTCAGCTAAGGTCATATGTCTAAAATTATGCAATTTACTTCTAACCCTTTTTAATTCTATACATCTTGAATTGATTGCTTGAAAGCCAATGAAATATTTTTCATAACAAATATATTTGATAAGTTCATGCTTATCATTTTTCATTTATTGGAAAATGGAATTATTTCAGTCTTTAAAAATTTAAGAAGTAATTGAGCAGTATGCAAAGATTCTTAAAATTAAACATTACTTAGCTGTTTAATCAGCCCCTTTCTAATATATGTGCATGTGTGTGTGTATGTGTGTATGTGTGTGTGTGTGTATCTATATCTATATCTATATATATATCTATATATATGTTTTCTTAAGTTTTTGTGGGTACTTACATGTATGGTATTCAGCTTTGTTCGGGTATTTTCCCACGTCATTATACACAATAC